CAGGCCTTATTTGGCAGGGAAGGCACTGCGAGCACCCACATGCCTGCTGCAACAGCAGCCTCAACCCCTGCTCTGGTGGGAACGAAGGGCAGGAGGGATACGGGAGAGTTGAGAGGTATTGCTGCCGACAAGACAGCAGGAGGGAAAGTGAGACGTGAGAGGAGAGCGCGAGGAGTGAAGGAGACGAAGCAGTGAGCAGGAGAGACGTAGGGTATGAGTGAGGGAAGAGATGGGAGCAGTGCAATGACTGACACAACTAAGAGGGGCTAGAGGGGGAGTAGCCAACGGGGCGTCTTCAACAACTAGGCAGTGCGAGGGAGAGGCGAGGCGAGATATTTGAGTGAGGGAAGCAATGCGAGCAGTGCAAAGACTGATGCAAGTAAGAGGAGTGAGAGAGGGAGAGAAGTAGCCTACGGGGCATCTTCCAAAACGAGGCAGTGAGCGGGAGAAGGGAGGGGGCGAGGGTAATAGGGGCAATAGGGAGAAGTAGCCTACGGGGCATCTTCCACAACGAGGCAGTTGGAGGGTGAGGCACCCATCAGCTCAGCTGCACGAAGGAATCTGAACGAGAGAAGAGAGAGGAAAAAACAGGGAGTGGCCAATGAGAATTACGGCCAAGCTTTTCAGGTACCCATTGGTCATGAAACCCATTGGTCCTGATTGGACAAAAAGTGGGCCATGTTTTTGAGTCGACTCAAAAGCAAGTTTATTCAGGTACCCATTGGTCATGATTGGACAGAAAGTGGGCCATTATCATGGGCATGCGACGAGCAAGAAGTTCCCAAGTGCGGAATGTGGCAAAGAGCGCATGTAGAAGGGTGGGGTTCTGAAACGAGCAAAAACTGAACCATCTATACACAACCTTAAAAAAGGTGGATTGGCTTACTAGCGTCACACACACAGCAGACAGACACTCACTCACATGTCAGGGCGCGGCTTGCCATGCTCCACCTCATCCCCTCCCACCAGCACTCGCAGCATCTCCGTCCATCCTGAACGGTTGCGAGAAGGGGAAGGAGAGAGAGGTAGGTAGGGAAGGGCATGGTTACATGTGAGGGCACGGCTTGCCTGTTGCACCTCATCCCCTCCCACTAGCACTTGCAGCATCCCCGTCCATCCCGCATTGTTGCGGCAAGGGTCAGAGAGGCATGGATAAGATTACATGTGACGAAAGATTCCATGTAACCTATGGGGAAAAATGTAACATGGGGGAGCTAGAGGCCACGGCCATGGGGATGCCACACGCCTGGAGGTGCAGCATCAGGCTGCAACCAGGAACTTGACCAACGATCACCTGAAAAACGTGCAACTGACCTGGATGCCTGGAAGGACAGCTTGATGTTGACATTGCGTCGGGGGGAGCTAGAGGCAACAGCCATGGGGATGCCGCATGCCTGCAGGTGCAGCATCAGTAGTAGGAGCTGCAGGCTGCAACCTGAAACCTACCTGGACCTTTCATGCAACTGACCTGCATGGAAGGAGAGCTTGATGTTGACGTTGCGCCGAGGGGAGCTAGAGGCCACGGCCATGGGGATGCCACACGCCTGCAGGTGTTGCATCAGACGGTGGGCGCCTGGGAGGGGCTTGGCTTGGCTCCACCTGCGCACACGAGGGGGTGGATAAGGCAGAGATGCAACAGTCCATAATCAGGCTGCCGCATCCCGTGTGCTTGAGGAGCTGCGTGGCCCCATGCACTGCAGGTGCTGCGTGGCCCCATGCACTGCAGGTGCTGCATCAGACGGTGGGCGCCTGGGAGGGGCTTGGCTTGACTCCACCTGTATATTCCGGCACTTGGATGGACAGACGAGCATGGAAATGCATGAATGATGGTTGTTGTTGCTAGTGCCATGCATCTATGCGAGTACGCGAACCCCACGCATTTCCCACGCACCAACGCACCCCTTGTGGCAAGCAATTTCCAGGCATCCCAGGTCATTCCCGCTGTTCATTTCAATCATCCCCTTCACTCACCTCTCCTCCACCAGCACTGTGGCACGAGCCAACCCACATGCACCCCAAGTCTTCCTGTGCATGTGTGCATCCCGCACAACCCCCCCTGACTCACCTCTCTTCCACCAGCACATGCTCTGCGCCAGCAACTCCTCCGGAGAACAAGGCAGCCCGTATCGCTGCACCGTGGCCTCATTCATCCCCCACACACCTTACACCCTCCCTCCCTATCTCCCATCGTCCTGGCTCACCTCTCTTCCACCAGCACGTGGCTCTGCTCCAGCAACTCCTCCGGGGTGCAAGGCAGGCAGTCCGTATCGTTGCACAGTGGCACGAGCCAACCCACATGCACTGCAAGCCTTCCCGTGCCTGTGTGCATCCCGCACACCCCCCCTGGCTCACCTCTCTTCCACCAGCACGTGGCTCTGCGCCAGCAACTCCTACGGGGTGCAAGGCAGCCCGTATCGCTGCACCGTGGCACGAGCGCCGTCAATCGGCCGCTTGCCGGTACGATCCTTCTCCTATATGCCATCCCAAACAAGTCCCTTTACTCACTCACCTCTCCTCCACCAGCACGTGGCTCTGCTCTAGTAGCTCCTCCGGGGTGCAAGGCAGCCCGTATCGCTGCACCGTGGCACGAGCGCCATCAATCGGCCGCTTGCCGATACGATCCTCTGCGCCCTCGCCCGTCCATGTCTTGCCATATCGCTCCACCAGTATTCTCGCTGCCTCTGTCACCGCACTCTCTGGAGTGAAGGAGGCGGGTGAGAGGGAGGAAGGGGAATAAGAGGAAATGAGCGCCATCAATCAAGCCACCTGCCTGCCAATACGATCCTCTGCGCCCTCGCCCGTCCATGTCTTGCCATACCGCTCCACCAGTCTCCTTGCTGCCTCCGTCACCGCACTCTCTGGGGGTTGGTTGAGAAAGAGGAAGGGAAAAGGAGCACATTCAGTTCAATCGGCCGCTTGCCAATATGCTCATCTGCGCCCTCGCCCGTCCATGTCTTGCCATATCGCTCCACCAGTATCCTTGCCACCTCCATCACCGCACTCTTTGGGGAAACAAGCGTGAGAGCGGGGAGTCAGGCAGCAGTGTGAGCACAACGAGTTAGCCCCACCTGCCTGCCTGTACAATCCTCTGCGCCCTGGCCCGTCCATGTCTTGCCATACCGCTCCACCAGTCTCCTCGCCACCTCCGTCACCGCACATACTAAGGAAGAACGTGCTTGGAGGGTGTGAAGAAGGACGGGGAGCAAAGCGAAATTACGACAATCAGTGAGCCATCCGCCTGCCAGTACGCTCCTCTGCGCCCTCGCCTGTCCACATCTTGCCATACCACTTCACCACCATCCGCCTGCCAAAACGCTCCTCTGCGCCCTCGCCTGTCCACGTCTTGCCATACCACTCCACCAGTATCCGCGCCAACCCCATCACCGCACTGTCTGCGGGTATACTCACAGACAAGCGAAAACGCGCAACCCACAGACTTGGGAGCAACCCGCGTCCAAAGAGACGACCTGGGATGACGTAGAGGAGAGGTCGATAAAAAAGTCGACTTTTAGTTGTTCTCTGGCATTTCGTTGAACAAGTACAGCGAGTGCAGCATGAGCTGAGTGTTCTGTAGCTTTAAGCCCAGCTTCTTGAAGGGCAGGTCGCTGAGAGACGAAGTCGATTTTTGAGTGAGAGATTCAAAGAGCGAGATTCAAAAGCGTCAAACCTAGCAGTGTCGATCAGCGTCATGAACCGAAGAAGAGGAATGCGAACAAGAAAAAGGGTCGAGCAACTCGAGGGTGATTTCCCTACGAGTGGCGATTAATAGTCGTATGATCTACTCCAATGTCGGGCGACTCGCGGGTGACTCACGGGAGTGTGCTGTACTACTGTTTATCGGCGTCTTAAGAATGCGAGCAGGAAAGCGGCTAGGCTAACTCAAGGAAACGTGCCGTACCAGTGTTTATCAGCGTGCCGTCCAGGTCGAAGATAACGTGCGTAATCTTCACGTCAGATAACGACAAAAGAAGAGCCTCAAAAGGCGAATGTGCCGTACCAGTGTCAATCAGCGTGCCGTCCAGGTCGAAGATGACGTGCGTGATCTTCGCTTCAGATAGCGGCGACCTGCCAGCTGTGCCAATGACGGTGACCGTGCTCTCCGTTTCTGTGGCAGCCGTTCCCTCGCCCTCGTATGCCATTGCGGAAGCGCGTCGTGCAGCCACGTGGCGCGCTACGAAGGAATAGCCATGGCAGAAGCACGAGCTGTTGTGAGGTATGGAGTAGTATCAGGAGAATTCTAGGCTCACGAAAATCTAGAATCACAATCTACGATCGTTGAATTTCGAACCTAGGGAATTCAAGGGGAGGGGATCAGCACAAGAACAGCAAGGCTCTCGCCTCGCCATACTCAAACTCACAGAACCCAGCTCAAATGTTCTAAAACGCGCTGTACCTCGAAGGTGAAAACGTTTGGGGCTTTACCACAAATATATGCTACATGTTGTTTCAATAATTCTATTAACTCTTACAGCCCCTGTTCAGATGTTTTGGTTGGAACTCAATGTGTGAGTATACCTGCATCCAAATGCAAAAATGTCACAGCAGAATTACTACACTATTTGCCGCTACCCTCTTACTGGCATGCTGATCAATAACAGCAAGAACACCAAACACCCAGCCACCATATTTGTACATGCAAAACGACACACGGTGCTTGAGAATCTCCTCCCCCCCCCCCCCCCCCCCGACCCCACGTAGCGCCGCAGCAGCAGAGCTTAGCGTAGCCTACAAAGCGAAACACCACTCATGAGCTGACCGGCACCCCCTGGTGCTTGAGAATCTCCCCCACCAGGTCCCCTCTCCCCGACCCCACATAGCGCCCCAGCAGCTCCCCTCTCCTATAAAAAAGAAACGTGGGTGCCTCCACCACCCCCAGCTCGTGGATCAGATCCCTCGTGCAGTTCACTGAGTCTCCAAAGAAGCATGCGAAGACAGAAAAGACACTAGAAACCACGCACCAAGCCACCACCAGAGCCACTTCCCATCCGGAAAAATCTCACTCATGAGCTGACAGGCACCCCCTGGTGCTTCAAAATCTCCCCCACCAAATCCCCTCTCCCCGACCCCACATAGCGCCCCAGCAGCTCCCCCCTTCTGTAGAACAGAAACGTGGGCGCCTCCACCACCCCCAGGTCGCGGATCAGATCCCTCGTGCAGTCCGCTGAGTCGCCAAAGAAGCGCGCAAAGACAGCGTGACCGGCCATGCGGTGGGAGAGGTTGAGCACGGTTTGGTGGATGCGCACACAGGGGCCGCAGAAGGTGAGCGTTGCCTCGATCACCACTAGCATGTCGGAGTCCTTGTGGGTCTGTTGGGATGGGGCGAGGTGGGGAGGTGAAGCGAGGAAAAGGTGGGAAAGGTGAGATGAAGGAAATATGGACAGCCATGGGGTGGGAGGTTGAGCATGGTCTGGTGGATGCGCACGCACAGGCCGCAGAAGGTGAGCGTTGCTTCGATCACCACCAGCATGTCACTGTCCTTGTGCGTCTATGGGGGTGTGTGAGGGGGCGAGGCGGAGGAGATGGGCAACAGTGGGCAAGGCGGGGTTGCATGCCAAAAACCACCAGCATGTCCATGTCCTTGTGAGTATGTGGGGAGGGGGATTGTGTGCGGGGCAAGGCGGGGGAGATGGGCAACAGTGGGCAAGGCGGGGTTGCATGTCAATTACCACCAGAACGTGAGTCCTTGTGCGTCTATGGGGTTGAATGAGGGGGCAAGTGGGGAGAGGTGGGGGATGTGGGGTGGATGCGCATGAAGGGGGCACAGAATGCGAGACCGGATCTCATCACTAACAATACTGTCACAGTTGCCATGTGACTTTAAACTTGTCACTGTAAGGTCTCAAGACGTCCACTTTTAAGAGATCTCGCATATTTTTCACGCAGTTTTTAGGATTGGAAGTATTTAGGACCTTGAGCAGTGTAGAGCGTTAGATGCTTGATGCGTGCTCATGCATTTCAGAACAAAATCCCTTTTCTCTCATGTTCCCCCGTTTCCCCGTCCCCCCGCCCCCCCATTAACCCATCCCCCCATCCCCCAATCCCTTCTACCACCCGCGCAAAACTCCGCAGGTTGCAACTCCAGCACAGGCCCTTGGGCAAAGCAAACACCCGACTGATCTGGCCCGATATAGTTAACCTATTGATGTACATAGTAAGCCCCGCACACCTCCTCCTCACCCAACCTCCCTCCCCCCGTTCCCCTTCCTCAACCCCCCGTTACCCCTTTTTCCCCCTTTCTTCCTCCCCCCCAACCCCCTCACCTCAATGAGCGCGCGGTACTCTTCCGCGGAGTGCAACTCCAGCACGGGCCCTTCCGCGGAGTAGTACAGCAGCTCGGCGCGCAGCCGCTCCGCGTCCATCCCCGCGTCCTCGTGCACGCGCTGCCCCTCGCGGAACAGCACGTACGACGGCACGCGCGCGCACTGCATGCTCTGCGCCAACCCGCGCAGCTCCGCGCCCTTGTCCGCGAAAATGCGCAGGAACACCGCGTTCGGAAACAACCGCGCAGTTTCCACGAGGGTGTGATAAATCCGGTCGGTATTGGGTAGGGTAGACATAGTAACCTCGACTACGGCGAGTCGCCCTTTGTTCTTAGCCTCCGCCATCAGCCGATCGTATTCTTCGCGGCTCGAGAGGGTTATTACGCGCGCCGCCGCGGCCTCTAGCGCGGCCGCCTCCCGCGCGGATGCTTCCGCGGACTCCCGGGAATCAGTGGCGGACAAAGGCGCATGCGCGCCGGTGCTGCGCGTGGCGGCGTCGGCGGAAGATTGCGCGCGGGGGGAGACTGAAGCGCGCAGCGCGAGGAAGGCGGCGGCTACGTGCGGAACGATGGCGCTGGGGAAGGTTGGGGAAAGCAGAGAGCGGCGGAGATCCAGAGAGCGCGCTGACGTGGCGCGCGGAAGAATGGCACAAGCAGGTGCTGTTTTTGCTAGGCCGCTGCAGCATGTGACTTGGTGAGCCATGATTTGAGACGGGGTTTGCACGCGGCAGAGTTGTCGAAGCGCGATTCGCGGCAGCTTTGTGCGCGGCAGGTTCGTGCGCAAGGGTTACCACGAATAACCACCAATCCGTTCGTTGTGTAACAAGTCTGTCACTGATAAAGCAACTGGGAAGGAAACCGTTTGAATTGGAATGCAAGCACCTGATGATTGGAGGTGGAAGAGAAAGCACGTCAGTACTAAAAGCTCGTACAAACGCAATCACCTCTGCCGTCCTGACTACTAGCGAGAAAGCTGTGTGGCTTTGTTTTGTTGTCTGAACGAGCTTGTGGGGCTGAAACAAATCCAGCTGATTTGAAGTGGAAGCCTCGTTGAACCTCAAAACCCGACACAACCGTTTCAAAGATGCTGTATTTCAAAAAGAAGCTTAGTAAACCGTACTGCAGTGAACTTGGGAAACGACGGAGCTGACTATGTATGGATTCATGCTGGCCCGTGGCATCTCGCTGCCTCGCTATGATTGGTTAGAAAAACTCGTCACCAGCTCACCCCCTCTGCTCGCCCGACCAGCCCAACACTGACCAGGCAGGTGCTCTTCTTTTTGCGCGTGCCCAGCATGTCTCCGCCAAACACAAAATTGGCGCGCTGTGTTTCGCCATGCTGAACAGAAGCCACATTTCACAAAAAGGAAGTGTACAGATATGAACAGCACGCGTTTGGGTGTTTTTGGGTGTTCAGAATTAATGCTTAAAATAAAATCCTCAATATATGCCCCAGTACACAAACATAAATGAAAGCTTCAGTTTCCCTTTTTCGGCATTCGGGTTTCAGGAAACCCAGGGTAACTTGAAAATTACAGAGATACGTTTCGTGGCATCAGCTGATTTGGAACTGACGTGGACGTTGCGAAACCACGCGGCTCCCATTCTCGCGCGATTTCGTTTCCTCATTGGCTTGTAGCAGCCGCGGAAGTGACAACCTGGACGCCATCGAAACCCCCACGAGAGAAGCATCCCTAAAAAACCAGAAGCCAGAGCTGCTGCGCGTTACAGAAATTTCGCAATCAATACAAGCATTATGAACAACATAGCGTACCACTCATGCATACAATAAATCAGCTCCATCACAAGCACTAATGATTCGTGAACAACAATCCTTGTGCAACAAGCGTTTAGTGTTAGGTTCATACCATAAGCCTATAGGCAACATATATATAGACAATGCAGGAAGATAATCCCCAAACCCCAAACCATGCTGGGTCATACTAAAAAGAATGCTGGGTCATCCTAACAGCAACTTCAAATTAGCTCCAGCAGTACCTTGTTACAGCAGCAGTTGCGGCAGGATCGGTCTAAGAGTATTAAACGGCACAGCAGGAGCCGTTTCCTCTGCCTCCATAGCTCGCCTGAAACACTCTGCAGCAGCACCCACATCCCCCCGCCCCCTCTCCACCAATCCTAGCACATGCCACGCACGCGCATCAAACCCATCACCAGATACCACCTCCCTCAGGTACACCTGCGCCATGTGAAGCCACTCCCCGCCCATCCGCAGCAGCAGAGCTCCCAGCCGCGCCTTGCTGGCAGCGTGCCATTGGTCAATGGCCAGGGCACTGCGGTAGCAGGCAAGGGCCTCCTCGGTGCAGCCTCTCGCCTCTTCTAGCATGCCTGGGGTAGTGAGCGAGAGAAGAGGATGTGAGAGTGGGGATGTGAAAGTGCGGAGGGAGATGACCATGGGCCAGGGCGCTGCGGTAGCAGGCAAGGGCTTCCTCTTCTAGCATGACAGGGGGAGTGAGGTAGAGAGAGCGGATGTGAGAGTGGGGATGTAAAGTGGGGATGTAAAGTGGGGATGTAAAGTGGGGATGTAAAGTGGGGATGTAAAGTGGGGATGTAAAGTGGGGAGGGAAGGGAGAAGGGACTGGTAGGCGAAGCAAAGCAATGCAGTAGCAAGCAAGGGTCATTTCGCTTCTTCTAGCAAGCCTGGGGGAGTGAGAGGGAGAGAGACAGAGGATGCGACCATGTGAGTGAAGGTAGTGGGGATGTGAAAGGGAGGAGGGGGGGAGAAGAGGAGCTGGTCTTGCGTCATCTAGCATGTCTGAGGGAATGAGAGTGAAGGAGGGGCGGGAGAAGGGGAGAGAAAGAGAGGGGGAGATGGAAAGAGGGAAAAAGGGGAAGCGGGGTGCTTTGGGGCCTGTTCTCGAGACCAGAGGGAAAGAATGGTGAAAGAGAGTGTGAGGAAGTGCACGGGGGGAGAGGGGCAGTAGCGAAAGAGGGAAGAGGGGAGGGAAGGGAGGAGAAGGGCGGTGGAAAACAGGGATGGGGAGGGAATAGAGTATCGAGATTAGATTTAAAAGAGATAGGCCTTTTAAATGCTCTGGGGCTCCCAGCCTTTCATAAATGCTCTGGGGCTCCCAGCCTTTCATAAATGCTCTGGGGCTCCCAACCACCCACTAGCCAATCACACGCCTCTGGCTCACTCAAGTTCCAACTACTAGACGCATATCACCGCCCTCCATGACTCACCTGCCACCATCCACGTGTCAGCAGAGTACGGGTCCAGCGTCTGACACTTGGCCACACAGAGGTCGGCATCCGCCGCCCGCCCGCCGGCCAGATACGCCTCCGCCAGGCCCTGCCACACCACCGCCTCTGTCACTGAGCCGCCCTGTGTGTGTGGTGGGGGAGGGGGGTGGGAAAGGGAGGGAGGAAAGAGGGGGAGAGAATGGGTGGGAATAATGTATGCTTGAAGCCAAGCTTCAAATCAAGTATGTGATAACCAAGTGATGAGTGATTGACTATGCCGCCCACCCGCCGGCCAGATACGCCTCCGCCAGGCACTGCCACACTACTGCTTCTGTCACTGAGCCGCCCTGCATGGGGGGGGAAGAGGAGAGGAGAATGTGTCGGGAGAGCATATGCTGGCACCACCACTTTTTGAGTCAACTCGAAAACCAGATACGCCTCCGCTAGGCACTGCCACACCACTGCTTCCGTTACTGAGCCGCCCTGCATGGGGGGGGAAGAGGAGACGAGAATGGGACGAAATAACATATGCCAGACGCTGAGCCGCCCTGTGTTGGGGGGGAGAGGAGAAGAGAAGGCAGATGATATGCCCTTCTGCCAACTCAACAACCAGATACGCCTCCCCCAGGCCAGACACTGCCACACCACCGCCTCTGTCACTGAGCCGCCCTGTGAGGGGGGTTGGGATGGGAGGAGGAGAGGGAAAGGACTGGTTCGGAATAAGGTATGCTTGAAGCCATGCTTCCAACCAACCAAGTGAGTGAGTGGTAACCATGCGACATGTGATCTACAACCATGCTCCCAACCATGCTTTGACTCATTCAGTAGCTGAGTTAGTGGGTGCCACGACTCGATCAACCACCACAACGTACCACCATACCTCCACACTACCGCGTTACTGCATTTGCCACACTGCCACACTGCCATCTCCACATGCTCCCCCCCACCAACTCCCCCTCTCCCCTTCCCTCCCTTCCTCCCTGTCCCACCGGCTCTGTCTCTCACCATGTCGCCTCGCTTTTGCCGTGCCTGCACAACAGCCATGGCTTGCTTTAAGCTCTGGAAGTACTATCTTTACCCCATCCCCCCTTCCCTCCCTCCCTCCCTCCCGCCCCCACCCCCCCTGCGCTCACCATATCGCCTCGCTTCTGTCGTGACTGTACAGCAGCCATGGCTTGTTTCAAGCTCTCCACAGCCTCACCAACGCCTGCACTCACACCTCCGCCTAGAGTCACACCACCACTGCCATCCGCCCCGCCTCCACCTTCCCCCTCCCCTCCTCCTCCCCCTAGCTCCGCACTTGCTAGGTGCACCTTAGCGTGCAGCACCAGCAGCGCTGCCCTTGCGCCCTCCCCTTTCTCCCCCCCATCCGCTCCCCCTCCCCCTGCGCCCCCCGCGCCCCCCGCTTTCTTCATGGCGGCTTCCCCCACGCGGCACATGTCTTCCGCGTCCTTGAATCGCTGCTGACACGTCAGCAGCAGCGCAAGCAGCTGCCACGTCAGCAGCCACTGTCCGCCGCCGGCTTTCAGCGCGCGCTTCGCGACCTTCAGCGCCTCGCTGACGTGGCGCTCTTCGGCCAACGCGAGCGCGAGATCCACCATTACAGCTGCTGACATGGCATCTTCTTCTGACGCCTGGGTTAGCGACTCGACGGCGCGTTTAAGACTCAGCTCACGCCGAGTCGCGGAGATATCGTGGCTGCGCGAGTGTAGCAGGAGATTAACTCCCAGCGCGTGGAGCGCCTTAGCGCGCTGCGGGCCGCTGCTGGCGGCGAGCTCGACGGCGCGTTCGCCGTAGCGCACGCCCTCCTCGCTCCACGTGTCACGCCGCGCGCAAATTACGGACGCGAGAATAAGGGACGGAACGTGATCGGGCCGCTCTGAAGGCTGAATCGCGTTTCGGACGACGTCTAAAGCGAGCGCCTCGTCGCTACTATTGTCGTTAACATCCCCGCCTCCCGAGGCGTCATTTGCGCCACCCGCGGGGGAGCTAGCGGGGTCCGCGGGGTTCGGGAACCGCCCGCGGAGGCGGATACAGCTGCGCGGAAATGCGCGCGCGCAAGGCGGAAGAAAAGGTCGCTACGCGGAACGGCGTCGGGGGGAAGCGCGAGGAGATCCGCGACGGACTCCGCGCCCCCGTTGACCTCCGCGCCGAGTCCTAGCCCGTCCGCTGGACCGCCCATGGCGTCAGTGGTGAGGGGACAGGACCGCGCGCAGGCAGACACGGGCGGAAGGAGGGCAAGGAGAGAGCCAGGGGAATAGATGGGGGAATGGATGGACAGTGGGCGGAGACGAATGCGTTGCCTCAGAACAATGACTCTACAAGAAACGGCAAGCGCGTGAACACGAGAGTTTTCCTAGCCCCTGCTCCACCGGGGGGCACTTGCTGTACTCGGATCGCAGTAACTTCGAAACGACCAGGCCGCGCGTGTTAGTATGCACAGCTACTACGCAAAATTGCTGCCTAGACTAGCATTATAATCCAAATGTGGAATCTTGTAGCGCGGCCGTCACGCTGCGTGAGCTAATAATAGTTGACAAGGAGGGGTGAAGTGGGTTTGAGAACGATGGCGAGAGTTTGAAACATTTTTGCGGTGGGTTGACGAGAGTGGAATTGGGATTGAGCGGAGCAGGCGTGACAAGTTCGAGGGAGAGGCCGAATTCCTTCGATACAAGAAGTTTGCGTTAAAAACAACACTATGAGACCATACGTAACACTCATACTCATACTTGCGTTAAACTGTACTTACAGGTCGCAATCCTAGGTGGATGACGCTTCCCAAACAACAGGAATGAACACCATAAGTGTTCCCACTTTGTAATAAGATCAAACACTTACTCAACCAACCCCTGCTTCTCCTTCACCCGCCCCTGCTCGGCCTTGCTAGGGCAAGCACCAACACCCCCTCACCTCTTGCCATCCTTACCATCCTTACCTCTCTATTTCTTCTGTGGCTCACCCACAAACCCTGCAGCATGGCCCTCCCTCCCCTCCACCACCCTCACCGCATCAATCGCCAGAGCCACTCTCGGCATGAAAGCACCCACCGCTTCCCCATCCCCTCTTATAAATATAAGCCTCTTCTTCAGCAACACCATACAAGAGTGATTTTCTTGTCCACTCAATAGTCGCCTCCATAACTGCTCCACAGCCTCCCTTTGTACTTCCACATATAAGCCTCTTCTTTATCAACCCTGTACCCATCCACCAGCTCCCTATTCACACTGTGCATCTTCTCCCGCACATTCTTCGGCCGCTTGTCCGCAACGCAAGCGCGTGGCACACCGCTTCTCGCACTCCTCACGTGCACAATAGGAGTCTCAGGCAACTGCCTCCTCTGCTTCTCCCAGTAGAACGAGCGACGTGAGATGCAGTACAGGGCGAGAGAGGGACAGAATTCGCGCAGGGCAGCAAGGGTTTGCTGCTCGCATGTGCTGGTGGGGTAAAAGATTGCTCGCAAATTTGGAGCCATGATAAACGGAGTCCTTGCTTCTTGCTGCTGCCCCTCCTGCTCCTCCTCCCCCTCCTCCTGCTGCTGCTGCTGCTGCTGCTGCTGCCACTGCTGCTGCAGAAACCTCTGGTTGCGCTCCTGGAATTCTTCCACAGTAACCTCCCTCTCACCATCATCCCGTCGATTCTCAACCTTCAAATCCACCTCAAACCGCTCCTCACTCTCCACGACAATCCCAAGGCTGCGCAGGCTGCTCCACGGAGCATCAACCCCCTCTACAGGCATTCCATGCCTCACTATAAGCACCTCCACTGTTGGCGCTATATTGCACAGCCATTCAGCCCAGGAAAATGCAGCAGAGCTGCGGCGGTGCACGTTCTCCCTGTCAGGAGAAATTTCAGGTGAACTTTCAGGTGACAACGCAGGAGATTCCAGGTAGGAAGAATATTCATCATTGTGGGCGTGGAGGTCTTTGGGAGGGCCGTTGAGATAGGCAACTCGCACGGAAGCGACGCGGAGGGAGGAGATGACAAGCCGCTGCTGGCCGTACAAGAAGAGGTGTTGGAGAGCGAGAGGTTCCGTGCTCTTGCATGAGAGCACGAGCTGTTTTGCCATGGCTGAAAAAGCCTTGAGCGAGCGAGAGAGGGTGAGGGAGAGCGTGAGGCTGCTGTGCGGGAAGTAAAAGCGGACGGTTTGAGCGTTTGACAAGTTGAAAGTGAATGTGCCGCCGCCACTGAGGCCTGAGGTTCGGGGGTCCAAATCCCAGCTATGATAGAGAACGAATTCCGTGAGCCGCGGTGTGACCACGCCCAAATACTTCATATCCACGTAGCTCCAATCCATGTGCTTGAGAGTCAAGCTGCGCAGCGATTTGAACCGCTCAGCCCAGCCTTCTTGGAGACTCCACTTGCCCCGGCCGAGCTTCAGCCGCTGCAGAGCCGGGCAGTCAAAGGAGTGGGTCCAGGACTCCTCATCCTCTTCATCCCCTTCATCCTTATAATCCCTATAAGGATCGTCATCAAACCTGTCGGATTTGTCGACACAGATGCGCAGCTTGAGACTGAGGGAGGTGAGGGCGGTGAAGGGCTGGCGAAGTGGCGAGTCGAGGTCTTCGAGCTGCTCCTTGTCTGTGAAGGTGAGCGCGAGGGATCGGAGGCGGTGGCGCTGGCGCAGGAAGAATTCGACGCTCTTGATCCACTGCGGGTGTAGTTCGTTGTATACCAGCGCGATGGGGTGGTGGGCCTGCAGAGAGAAAGACGGGCGAAGGTATGGAGTAACCGGAAGGTTGATCAAGGAACCACCCGGTCTAGGAAGTTCAGATCGAGAATTGACATTGAAAGCATGATTGAGGAAATGCGGCGCTTTTGCTCCACTGCGGGTGCAGCTCGCTGTTAACCAGGGCGATGGGATGGTGAGCCTGCAGAGAGAGACGAATGGGATTGGAGGAGAGAAGGCGAGAGAGTTGGGAATGGAGTTGTCCGATTGGCTGCTTTCAAACCTGCTTAACAACCAATCAGGACCTGTTGTAAGAATCTCGAATCCACTAAGCAATGGGGTGATGGGCCTGCGGAGAGGGATGGAGGGGATTGGAGGAGAGAAGGTGAACGCTGGTTGGCTGGAAGATGGGTTGGTACGTCAAAAATTGGAGTGAGGGAGGGAAATAAATGGACTTGGATTAAAGTTGCTGGGTAGGCTGTTCTAGGATCTGCTTTACAACCAATCAGAACCTGTTCTATGAATCTCATATGCATGGTGGAACTTAAAAGGGCGTGCGGGTTTCGAAGCCAAGGAGAGCGAGTGCAGAGCAGAGCGCAGAGCAGAGCACAACTCACAGAGAAGGAGAGGACGAGCGCGAGCAGCCTCTTGCTGGCCATGGCGCAGCACAGCAGCGCCCACCCTCTGCCATATCTCCTCGCGTTCTTCCAGTGCTGCCCCGCTGCTGAGAAATCAGGGTCCACAAATCTCACGGGTAGGTTCCTATCCGCTATGGGTTGTTCTGTAGCGGCGAGATACCATGGAAACTTTCGCCTGCCCCGGACAAGGGGAGCCTCAGAGTGGGAGGAGCCGGGTGGCAGCAGCAGGTAGAGGAAGACTTTGTGCCAGAGGTATGCCGGCAGCATGTCTATGGGATCACCGGGGGTGGCGGCTGGAAGGGTATGTCAAACATTGTATGTTTATATTGTGTAGGCTGTAGTGGGTTACACCTTAGGGGGTACACAAAGTTAGGGTTTCCTACTTGTACCAAACTCTGTGCTAGTTCATTTCATTCCTGCTCAGTTATTCTGACATGGTTTCAGAGCAGGTCCGTCGCTAGGACTGTTCTTAGGGCCCACCGTACGATACCTACCTACCTACCTACCTACCGGAGCGCGTTCTTAGCGTCTCCCCCGTAGCGCCCTCGCGAGTGTTACCTTTTTTTTTCCCGGCCCCGCTGGCCCCGTCGATTGCGATCGCACCTACCGGCCCCGTTGGCCCTCTAGCGAACCGCCCGCGAACCGCCCGCGAACTGCCCGCGCGGCCTGCGCGCCGCCCTCGAACCGCCCGCGAACCGCCCACACGGCCTGCGCGCCGCCCGCGAACCGCCCGCGAACCGCCCGCGAACCGCCCGCGCGGCTTGCACGCCGCCCACGAACCGCCCGCTACCCGCTACCGGCCCGCGCGCTGCTTACGCGGCCCGCCGCTGCCGCCCGTGCGCACCCGCAGCCGCCGCCGCACGCACCCGCTGCCGGCCCGCCGCTGCCGCCCGTTCGTATCCGCAGCCGCCGCCGCACGCACCCGCTACCGGCCCGCCGCTGCCGCCCGTGCGCACCCGCAGCCGCCGCCGCACGCCCTCGCTGCCGGCCCGCCGCTACTGACTGTCCGCACCTGCAGCCGCCACCGCACGCCGCTACTGCCGACTTACCACCGCAGCCCGTGCGCCCCTGCGACTCCTGCTAGTGCGTCTTTACAGCTACAGCGGCCCTACTCTGTCTACTACTGCTGCTACTGCTACTATCGCTATGGCTAGCCCTCCCGTTCTAGCTTTCGACGCCGAGGGCCGTCCAGTGAAGTTCGAAACCTGGCTCGATGACCTGCACCTGTTCCTACAGCTCACGGCCAAGGAGGATATTTCTCTGTACGACCATGCTCTCGGCCACGCTACTGCCCCTC